TGGTGACACTGTGTGTTGTTGAAATCGTAGCTGTTGCTGATGATGGGGGGTGGTGACAGGTGTTGGTTACAACCCACCGGTTCGTTCTTCACAGTAAAGCCGTGAGTATTCTATCCCAATGACAGGAAAGCAGGTTCTTTACCACTGTAATGATGAGGGGTTACGTCCTGCAATTTCATACAGGTGCACAGGTAATTAAATCCAAAAAGGGGAAGTCTCAGGACATTAGTCCATCTGTATCAGTTCTACTCGCTGATTGGCAGGTGACCCTCTCTGTCATCCAAGCTGGAAAGATAGACAGGTTACCCACTGCTTAAGAAATCACTCTCCATGATAAGTACAATACCTAAAAGATGTGGTGACTATTACAACAGTCAACTTAGAGCAAGACTGAAAGGACTAAATTTATTATTGGTCAAAAGTGAAGCTTTCAACCAATAAATCCACTAGAATACAAGGCAGGCATGTACTTACAGTAGTGCTGGGAGCTGTGAGTCTAGTGATTACTGTTTGGACCGGAGCCCCAAAGGTCACCTTTTGGGGGGAGGGGGAAGAAGGAGGGGAAGGGATAGCGGGAGCTAGACTGACCCTACCTTATCAAGCAGCTGGCAGTCAAACTATCACTTTCGGGGTGGGGGAAAAAAGGCGGGAATAGCGGGAGCTTGACTTACCCTACCTTAACAAGTAGCCGACAATGAAACTATCACTTTCGTGGAGGGGGAAAACAGGCTGGAATAGCGGGAGCTTGACTTACCCTACCTTAACAAGTAGCCGGCAATGAAACTATCGTTACTATATACTCCCTTGCTACTCCTATCTATTGAACTTTTCCCTCACAAAGATCCTCCAGTGGAACATTTGCGGGCTGCAGCGGAAAATTCACTTACTGATTGAAGCTGCAGTTCAGGATGAGGTTGATATCTTCCTGCTCTAGGAGACACCAATTCGTCACATGAAAAGCAACCACGTATCCCGGGATTCTTAGCTTACCTTCATCGTCTGGAAGGGACTGGCAGGGGAACAGCAATCTATGTCAGGGCCTCTATCCCTCATTCAATTTCCACTGACCCCATCAACTGCAGAGGGGGCATGGAGGTCCAGGCTGTCACCCTTCACCTGCAGGATGGACCTCTCGTGGTCTATAACTTACACAGAAGTTCTCGGTACACCCTTGATGTGGCTGGGGATGTCAATGCCTACTACCCAATTCTTACTTCTGTCTCTCCTACCAATGCAGCTTGGAGGCACCTTGCGGCTGTGCTGGAGGAGGTCCCTGAGATCGCCCTCCTCAACAGTGGTTAGCAACCCATCACTACGGTGCTGCCTGGATGTAACACTCATCTCTAGATGGTTGCTCTCGAGTGCAAAATGGGAGGTCCACCCCCATCTCACCCGTGATCACTTTTCAGTGGTCACCACACTGATGGTCCGGCAGTGTCCGACACCCACACCTACCCCCAGATGGAATCTCAAGAGAGCCGACTGGCATTGCTTCCAGGAGGTCATCGAGCACTGGTGGGCAGAGTCTCCTCTTCCAGAAGATCCTGATGAGGCAGCTCAGAGCTTGCAGGCAGCCTTTGGATGTGCAGCTGAGGCAGCCATACCTAAGACTACAAGTGGATGGTCAACGTCGTACGCAAATTGCACAGGCGTAATCCCACGGCTGAGTTCATGCGTCTGCTCATGGAAGTGGTGCGGCATGCACGCCATGTCTCACACAGGGTCTGGCAACCTAAGTGGCTCGAGTGGTGTGCCTTCCTCAGCTACTCCTTGACCTTATCTTAGATTTGGATCAAGTTATGATTGGCCACTGGGCAGTGTCGCAGAGTGACTCAATTGCACATAAACCCCACAACAGAGCCAAAACGTCTGGGGGACTTCTTCGCCACCAGAGCAGCCATGGCTCAACTGCCTCAGGATCTCCGGGACCTCCAAGCCACCCTCCTTTCTAGGAGGATGATGATGATCCAGGCAGCATGCCAGGCTCAGGATGTCACAGATGAAGACTTCACCGACCAGTAGCTCCAGGCAGCCTTCACATCTCATCGGGACACTGCACTTGGGCATGATGGTATCACCTATGGCATGATCACTCGATCTGGCCATTCTGGTCATACAGCTGTCCTGGGGTTCATCAACTGGACTTGGCAAGCTGGCAAACTCCATGCCGTATGGAAGGAGGCTGACATCATACCAATTCCTAAGCCTGGGGATCCTGGCAGTGTGAGACCCATCTCCCTGACCAGTTGCATCTCGAAGGTGTCTGAAAGGATTGTGTTGGAGTGCCTGAGGTGGAAGCTTGGCCCTCCTCATAAACACCTCTATGGCTTCACCAGAGGAGTGGGCAAAACACCTCTATGGCTTCACCAGAGGAGTGGGCAGTTTCGAAAGCCTTACCACCCTACTGGCCGGCATTGGGTCAGATGCCCAAGCCCACATTGTTGTCTTTCTCGACCAAGAGAAAGCTTTTGAGCTAGCAAGTGCACCTGCCATCCTCTCACTCTTAGCCCGCAGGGGGGTTAAGCGCAGGCTACTTGCATGACTTCGTTCCTATCTCCAGGACAGGTGGGCCCGGGTACGCTTCCAGGGGCATGCCTCTTCTCTCAAGACCCTGGACAACGGCACTCCACAGGGTTGAGTGCTTAGTCCCGCTCTGTTCAATGTACTGATGCACCAGCTGGTGTGCCTACCTTTCTCCACAGGCACCCTCCTACTCAGCTACGCTAATGACCTGGCACTTGTCACACCTAGGAAGTGCCGGCTTTTGCAGCGTGCCCAAGAGGACCTCGATCTGCTGGCTTCCACTTGCCATCACTTGGGGCTCAAGATATCTGCGGCAAAATCCAAAGCCATGATCCTTCGCACAAGGGAACCCACTCAGAGGCTGCGGGTCCTGGGCATCGACCTGGACTGGGTTCACAGTTATAGGTACCTTGGCATCTACATTGACAGGCGTCTGTCCTTCCAGAAACATGTGCACCACATCAAAGAGAGAGCCCTGCAGAGGGTCAGGGCATTGAGTGCCATGGCCAACCCTAGGGTTGGGGCCAGCCTCAAGGTCATGAGGTTATTCTACATCCAGGCAATACGCTCACTCATTGACTATGGAGCACTTGCTCTGGTTCATGCCAGACCCACAAACATCAAGTCCCTCTGTGTGGTCCAGAACACAGCTGTACAGGCCATGCTGGGGGCTCCTAGGTGGGCTAATGCAGTGGCTCTAAACTTTGAGGTGCAGCTGCAGCCTCTTGAAGACAGGATCCAACTTGTAGCTGCCAAGAGGATCGCAAAGCACCTCTGACACCCAGGGACTGACAAACTAATGAGGGATTTATTGGTCCACCATGGACAGGTCATTCCAATGCTCCCCAGCTGCCGATGGATGTGGTCGATTGCAGATGCCACACCGAAGCTCCTGCCCATGACATTGCTCCAAGCGGAAGGCTGTGACAGATTGGCAGCAAACTACATGGTGATGCCACCTTGGGCACCAGAGCTGTTGGCGGTGCGATGGACAACCCTACCAGACGGTAATATGCATTGCTCAAAGCACATTCTGCAACAACTTGCCTTGGCTAGCATTGTGGATGCGGAAGGCCAAGGGTATGTACCACATTACACCAATGGCTCCAGAGACCCTGTGGCAGGCCACACAGCTGCTGGGATATTCCACAGCAATCTGACAGCAGGTTGGCACCTCCCAGACCATTGCACCATCCTCCAGGCTGAACTCTTTGCCATCCAACAAGCTTTGCAGCATGCTCTTGCAGACCATCAGCATTATGCACAAAGAGCCAAGGGACAACATACACTTAATCACATCCATCCGGGGTGACCTGCAGATGTTCATGGTCCAGGGTCACAGGGCCACCATCAACTGGATCCCGAGCCATGTGGCTATTCCTGGCAATGATGCTGCAGATGAGACTGCAAGGACCGCAACCCTCGAGGCACAGCCACGTGCTGCAATTTCCATCAGCCTCAGCCTGATTGTGCTGTGGGCTACTGGTGCGGCCAGATGCCCACTCCCTGACCCTGGGAATTCACAGAGCCTCCGCTGGTATGTCAGGGCGACCCACAGGGCGCCCCCTCCAAGTATTCGGTCGCAATCCAGAGAACTGAGGGTGCATATCCACTGCCTACGCTTAGGGTATCCCACCACTGTGCGGATTGTTGAACAGGCAAGAGCTCTGTGCTCTTTGTGACCGAATGGTTTGTTCCCCTTTGGGTCAACCTGTTGACTCCCGGCTAAAATTTGCCCTTTTCCCCCGTAGACACTTCCCAATGACCCCAGGGGGGCAGCCCGGGAGGATGAGGCGCAATCTGTACCCGGTTCAGGGACTTTGGACACCTTACTCCCGTCGTTCACGTCCCCCCCCCCCCCCCGTGAAGTTGTTGTGGGGCGCTTTGGGCCTCTTGCACCGACACCACAGCCATTTGTGCACCCCCCCCCCAATTTTGGTACATCACTTACCATAGAGCCCAGAGGGGACCCCATTCCCCCTGAAGAACTGCCACGCATACAAAAAAACAAAAGAAATTCCCACCCAGGAGCTAAGCCAGGGCATCAAATTGGGAAAAGACCGGGCTGGGTCCTACCGGGGAAAACAAAAAAGAATGGGTAGAAATGTTTTGGCAAAAACCAGTGTGGGTAAAATCCAACAAGTCTCAGTGATACATCAGCTTCAGTAAGTTGCATTTCGATTTTCATGTATTTATAAGTTCTCCCCAGAGTGTGGCTGCAATATATATTTCGAGATTGTGTTCTTGTGAAAATCCCCCTTAAGTTAAAAGTTAATTTTTAGGCAGCCCTGAAGTGCTCTGCATGACCCGAGGACTTCATGTTAATTATTTGTAAATCACTTGTTAACTCTATGGAAACAAAGATTTTTTCATTTGAATTGGATAGGGTGTTTTCCAAGTACCTATAAATACAGAAAAGAAAAAAATTGATTTGCAAATATTAGCAATAAAAAATTAGGTCCAACTAAAACAAAAAATAACCTGAAATGAGGAAAAATCTGAAAGGAATTTTTTTTAGAATCAGCCAGGGCACAAATTAAAACAATTGTTAGACATGTCATACTTAAGTAAAATTATATTAAATGAAGCAGCAAAAAACTATTACTAGTTTAAACAGACATAACAATAAGAACATTAATGACTGGAACACTTCAAAAATTGATGGCAAAAATATAAAACTAGATATATAATAAAATATAGTACTAAGTTTTTACTAACAAAATCCCACCACAAACAGTGAGTTTGCACAGATCTTGCTCTGTGTCACTCATAGGTCAAAAACCTTATTGAAACTAAACTAAACAATAGTAAAGGATTCAATGATCTTGTTCATGTCACTTCCATTACTTGCCACAATGTAATGTTGTAATGAATGAATGTTGTCAGAGTTATACATTGCAATATATTATTCGTCACTTTTGAAGAATTAAAATAAGATCAATGAACAAAACATCCCTTCTTGCAGATAAATAAAATAACTTTGTATTACTTGCAAGAAAAAACTTGGAAAAAATATTTTAACTCAGAACTCAGCACAAGTTGTCAGCCATGAACGAGGAGTAACCATCACTAATGAAGGACAAGACTTGGAGGAATGTGAACGCCCCATATTTATGTTATAAACAAACATCTGTAATTTCTTCATTATTATTACATGCAAAAAGAAGCACTAAAACTATAAGAGTCATACAATGCAGATATAATGTCTTCAGGGGGCAGTAGGGGAAATTTCCGTGCGCGCTCACCGAAAAATCGAAAAAATATGGATATTGAGTTATATATACTGAAAAATAGCTCAACTCTTTGGCAACACAATGGTACCAGAATGAATGTTCTACGACGTTTCTACAAGAAATTATAGTCATTTATATCAGGTATGGTGACGGCGATGTTGGTACCGAGTCTACTCACGGCCCATATATATTTCGGAGTTGTTTCCTTGTTTTTTATCGCCTTTTCTTGCATTATTCTTTCTAATATAATAACTGACTATTTGGCATCATAAAACAGTAGGCGGGACTTATCCGCAGACTGAGCGACAGCCGGGAACCAGATGGGAACGCTTGGCAGTGTTCCCGCGCCTGAGGTGCCAGCCAGGAATCGCCCATTATTACGCTTATATCAGCTTATATATCAACTCTACGGCTTATTTGTCTATCAGAATTGATCTAATATGATATAATAAACACTCTAAATAACATACAAACATGTTATATACTCTAGACTGAATAAAATAGGCCATAATATGGCCAGAGATTATCGGGAATATTTCAATATAAAAGTGTTACTGCTCTCCATGTCGTCTCGGAGTAAGAGAAAACGGTGTTTTGAAGAGGATAACTGCACTAGAACATCAGTTACTAAGAAATACACCCAAACAAACGCGATTTTCGCGATTTTTTTTTTTTTTTTTTTGAGACGGGGCCGGCCGGCGCTCTCAGCCGATATCTCGGAAGTAACTTATTCACCTAATGGCCAAGCTTCTCGCTTTATTACTGAATTAAATGGAATATAATACTCACAAAAGTTGTAGAATAATGATTTCTCCTTTTTTTGGTGAGCAAATTTTGGAAATATTCCAAATACTTTGGGAGTTATGTGGGAGTAAAGGGCAGATTTTTTTGCAATATTCCAGGAACTAACAAACTTTATTTTTTTGTGAAATAAAGATAAGTTTATTTAGAGAAAAGGGCTCAATGAATATTAGTATAAGCATTGTTCTCTCGGCACCAAGTGTCCAAACAACCTTGCGTAGTCCCATATAAGAGAAAGTTTGGCCACAAGGGCATTTTCAGTAAATCAGTCATTTCTCAGTTGTTTTTTGAAGTATATTTTTGATAAATATTTTCAAGAAAGAGTGAAACGACTTTGTCTTGTGTACCAAAACTGGAGAAAATCGGACAGTAAACAACAGAGTTACAGATTTTGCCCTACTGCCCCCTTCAGATGGAGTTTATAATAGAGAGGCTAATTTACGATTAGTTAGTTTGGGCTGATTCCTGTTTATAACTTGGACGACAGTATTGTCTCAGGTCCCAGTTGTTTAGTAAAAATTTTTAATATCTTGTAGCTCATGCGGGAGAGGTCGAAGATGCCGTCCTCCAGGGTGTTTATGTTTACTGTTTTGACATTCTCGATCCCCAGAAGAAGGCATGCTTTATCGGTGTTGGGGCTGATGGCATTTGCACAGGCTAATGTGAAGCCCTGCTTGGTGCCAAGATCCAGACATAGCTGAAGGTGTATGAACATGATATGAACACAGTGACATGGGGAGAAATAATACTAATATTAGGCAAAATGGAATAATTTCGATTTTCTTGTCAGCACTGATATCCAAGAATTATATTGTTTGGCTTTTATCATCTGCCTTTATTATCTACCAGGTAATACCACCAAATATGGCTTAACACAAACCTTCGCTATCTTTGTAGAAACACCCTGATGAACATAGTCAGGGTCGACACAAATGCGAGCAGCGAAGAGGATGCGGTCCTTCCTTGTGTCCACGACTAAGTCTATAAGTTTTCGAATTATATGCCATGCTCTAAGAACTCTAACCTAAAAAAATAAACAACTCACAATTACTGCAAAGAAAAAGTAAGCCCATGTAAATGGTCAATTAACAGACAGTATAGGTTTTGTTTACAATTAGAACATACATTTATTATCACATTAATGTTTTACTTAAAATTCCTGTAAAATACAGTGGAACCTCAAATTTTGAACTTAATTCATTCCAGGAGCTAGTTCTAAATTCGAAAAGTTTGAAACATGGAGTAATATTTCCCATAAGAAATAATGGAAATAAAAGGGTTACTTCCCTTCTATGTCTTTTAATGCCACTAGGACCAGCTTGAGAGTCACTGGACCCCTGTCTCACAAAATAACTGTCTACATACATCCTGGCAAGCTCATCAAGTCTCACACCACTCGCATCTATGGTGTTTCTCACTTTCTTTACCACAGGGGTACCACTAGCAAGTTTCTTTGAGCTCATGGAAGCTTATTTCACAGTCTCACAAGCACTAAACACAATGAATTAATCGTAAGATGTTTGAATGAGACCGCAGGTTAGTGTTCACTCAAGCATCAACAAAGCCAGACTGGCTCACGATGCCTGTGCGGGGACGTGGACAGAGTGGGCTGGTGGACAGGTCCGGTACCTGGCAGTTCGAAAATAGGGGCGAGTTCAATAATAGGGACAAAGTTGGTTCAAAAAAGCAGTCGATTTTCGAAGAGTTCAGTAAGCGATACGTTAGAAATCTGAAGTTCCACTGTAATCAGAAGGTTTGTATAGTACAGTCTGCCAAACCATATTATATAATAGTTGAGATATATTGCTTAATTTATATAATTTTTAAATCCACCAATTTGCAGGCCTTAAAGCTGTTATCGTTTCTTAGCTAATTTCAAAGCCCAAGCAATTGTAAAGGCAAAGTCATCTAGAATGCAGCCCACTACAGTTGGTTAACATCCAGATACCTATTTACTGCTAAGTAAATGAAATCAAATGGTGTAAAGGGGCTTGTTTGGTGTTTCTACTTTCTGGACACAGACGAATGACACTTCATGAATCTAAATTCTCTACCATTGTGCTTCTAGCATATTAGAAATGTATTGCTGCTATTAGATAATAAAAAAAATACATCCCAGTTAACAAAACAAATGATTACGTTCTGTATATTTTGAGGTTCATTATATAGAAACTGTCTCAATGGACACTATATTTTGAGGTTCATTATATTGAAACTGTCTCGGAGGACACTATGTTTTAAGGTATGTTATGTAGAAATTGTCTCAGTGGATGCTATATTTTGAGGTTCATTATGTAGAAACTGTCTCAGTGGACGCTATATTTTGAGGTTCATTATGTAGAAACTGTCTCAGTGGATGCTATATTTTGAGGTTTGTTATGTACAAACTATGATTTATGTTGACTTTTATTCTCACATTCAACATTAATTAAACAAAACATCATTTTAAATCAAGTATAAAAAAAAACAAATAAAAAAAAATCTAATATGAGCATTTAACATATTAGCTTCACTTAACTGTTAAGTAAGCATTTTTAACATATTAACCTTCACTTAACTGTTAAGTAATCATTTTTTCGATTATCAATATGAGAATTTTTATTAAGGAAATGTTTCATCACAAAGTAGCTTCATCATTCCAATACAAAGTAAAAATGGGTAAGGAAAGGAGGAGACTGAGGAAATTAGTCCCTCAACCTGGAATCGATGTGTTTAGTCCATCACTCTTGTAGAAAGTACAGCATATGAATGGGGAAGTGATTTATATACTGTAGTCAGGTGAGTCGAAGCAGAAGGAGGCGGGATCATAGTGGAACCATCCACTAATCTAAGTAGGTCTTCGTCTGAAGGTTGGACAAGTAATGAAGAATTTCTTGTATCAAGATCCCTTGATGTTGCAGTGTCTGACCAGTGTGATAAATGGTTTTGAAAACCAATAAGTTGAAGATTGAGACACTTATGCAACATATGGGAATCTTTATTAACCTTTTCAGGATCTGTGCCATAGTTCTACGGTTCTGAGTTGTGGGTGCAAACCCTAGAACTACACCAGAATTTTAGCGGCCTCAAATTTAGCTCGAGAAGGCTGGTAGGCCTACATCTAAGAGAATGGGTCTTGGTGGTCAGAGTGCACACTATAGAAAACATCTGGATGCCCACATGGCATTGTGGGAATGCTGCCAAAGTAGCTCTGCTCACCATGTCTGGCGGCAGGGAAGCTCTCACTCCCCAGGCGAATTCTGACTCTCCTCCTCCCAACTTATAGTTGTAAGACTGATGGAAGTGGATCTGAAGAGAAATTCTATGGTTCTGAACCATATGCTACATTGTACCATATGGTACAATGGTGCCATGGGGTAAAATGGTGACATATCATACAATGGTATATGGTACAATGGTATATGATACAATGTACCATGTGGTACATTGCAAATATGGAACATTATGCCATGTTGTACATTGTACTATATGGTACAGGGTACAGGGACCCTAATGGAAATAAGTCTGTCTGACATTTATGGGGTTATCCTAGGTCTCCAAACATATGCTGCTGTGTATGATAATCTATGTAACTTTATTTGTGTATACCTAAATAAAGTTACTTACGACGCCACATGTAAGTTTATTCAGGTGTACAAAAATACAGTTACATTGATTATTATACATAGCAGCATAAATATAAAGTCCTACATTAACCCAAAAAAGTCAGGATGATTTATTTCCATATGGATCCCTGTATCTGTACCATATGGTGCCCTGTACCATATGGTACTATGTACCATATAGTACCTGTACATCAAAACATGAAAGCATTCTCTTGAGTTGGCGGGGATTGTTGGACTACTTAATACTTCACATCAGTGGAAAAACAGAAGCGCGGAGGAGATTCATAAGGATTATCGACTGGACGAAGATTGGAAAACAGTGTGTGTTGTGTTCGCAAATCTGTGTTAGTTTACGCACAGATTAGTGTCGTTCCTGGTGATCCTTGGACTGTGTTCAGTGCTTCAGAGCAGTGAGCCACGAGAGGGTGGCTACGGGTCCCGACTGGGGCTCTGAGCCTCACAGCTCTGCACCCAGTGTGGGCAGCTGTGAGGTCACAGGCAGCAGCTCTGCTGCTGACTCGGTCCCCACACCTACAGTCACCATGACAGATCCAGGAGAGCGGCCTAAACGTTCCTTGGAATGCGGGGACGAGTTGGAGGACGACGTGGGGCAGGTGGGAGCCCCCACCAAGAAGGCCAAGGATGCAGTGGAGACTACTGTATCTACCAAACTGCCACTAGGTCCGTCGGCAGCCCCTACCCAAGAAGACTTGCACCCCCAGTTGGCCATAGGGGTCGTGGAAGGAAGCCAGGAGGATGTAGCTCCTCAACTGGCAAGGATGGAGCCATCCCAGGTCCCTACACCAGTTGCGTCGGCCTCCACAGAGGACGGGGACTGGCTGACTCCACATGGAAGGAGGAGTTCCCGCTCAGCTCGGGAACAAGCAGCCAGGGCCTTCAACAAATTCAAGGTTCCCAACTACGGGTTTGTACGGTATCTGGAAGGTCTACCCCACCTCATGTTCTGCTGCGAGTTCACTCTCAGGAACGAGGTTCTGGTCATTCCTCGGGACGAAGACTCTTACGAGGAGTTGAAGGGGCTGGTTGTGACCCATCCCAGCATGGTGGAACTGGTTGCTTCGGAGAAGGTGTACAAGGGGGTGCTTTTACACGTCCCTGTGCCCCTCCCACTGGACCCCATTTTGGAAGTGCCCAATATTGTCAAGGCGGAGCGACTCACTGCAACGGTGAACAAGGTGCCCACCCGCCAGGTGCTGATCCACCACAAAGGTCCACTTCCCATGCACCTGGACCTTGGGGTCTGTGGAAGATTCAAGACCCGACCATACCTGTTGGGCCCAGTACAATGCTTCAACTGCCAGGGGTTCAGTCATATTGCAGCCACCTGCCAGCGAGAGAAGAAGTGTGGTGTGTGCAGCAAGGCACACGACTCGAAAGACTGCATTGCAATCCTCAAACAGCCAACTGGAGAAGCCCTTCGGCCAGAGCCCAAGTGTGCCAACTGCTCAAAGAGGCACCATGCCTGGAACCGGAGCTGTCCTGTGATGGTGCAGCACTGGCAGCAGGTTTGTCATCGGAACGACCCAACAGCCCAATGCCACCCAGCCTTGGAACTGCCCAGCAACAGTCAGCATGGGCTCCAATCACGGTTCCCCGGATACCGCAGGAGGGCAATACCAGCGAGTTCCCAGCACTGGGCTCCCAGCGGTGGCATCAGGGGGCAGGCACTGGTTTGCAGCAGCGCGGTCAACTGCGGGGTCAGATGGCAAGGTGGCCAACAAGACAGAATCATTGGGAAAAACAGCCACAGGCCAGGCACACTGCCCAGCAGGTCCCAGCTGGGCACCAACATTCCTTGCCATACCACCAGCAGGCCTCTTCCCAAGGGCAGGCCCCTACTGTGAGCGGCCAGAGTCAGGCAGAGGTTCCCCGCCGGGGGACTTGGAACCCCATGGCCACTCATGCCGGGCCCAGGGTGGACCCAGCTTACGCTGCTGCAGTGTCGACAGCCACCCAGACATACCCAGTGACCCAGCCCCGACTCGACGGGTCATCCAGCTCAATGCCTGAAGAGGTAATAGTCGAATCCTTTCCGGATCGACTGAAGAAAACCATCGGGGTCATCTCAGCGCTCCTCTGTCACCTGCTGCCATCGGCAGAGGACAGGGGCGCCTGCAGGCAGCTCCTGTCATGGATGCTGGGCGTGGTCCTACTGGACAGGAAAGACTCAATGGAACTTCAAGCCATCATCCAGGAGTCCTTCCAGTCTGTGATGGAGGAGGCCCCAGAGTCGCCAACAACGGGCGACGAGTCCCAGGCAGAGATGGAATCAGTGATCCACCTCTGCGACCCTTGAAGATCCTCCAGTTTAACATTTGTGGGCTGCAGCAGAACATTCACTTAGTGATTGAAGCTGCAGTTCAGGATGAGGTTGATGTCTTCCTGTTTCAGGAGACAC